TATATATATATATATATACACAATGGAATATTATACAGCCATCAAAAGGAATGAAATCTTGTCATTTGCAATGACGTGGATGGAATTGGAGGGTATTATGCTGAGTGAAATAAGTCAATCAGAAAAAGACATGTATCATATGACCTCACTGATACGAGGAATTCTTAATCTCAGGAAACAAACTGAGGGCTGCTGGAATAGTAAGGATTGGGAGGGATGGGGTAGCTGGGTGATAAACATTGGGGAGGGTATGTGCTATTGTGAACACTGTGAATTGTGTAAGACTGTTGAATCACAGACCTGTACCTCTGAAACAAATAATACATTGTATGTTAAAAAAAAAAAAGAATAAGATAGCGGGGGGGAAGAATGAAGGGGGGAAATCAGAGGGGGGAGACGAATCATGAGAGACTATGGACTCTGAGAAACAACATGAGGGTTGTAGAGGGGAGGGTGTGGGGGGATGGGTTAGCCTGGTGATGGGTATTAAAGTGGGCATGTTCTGCATGCTGCAATGGGTGTAATACACAAACAATGAATCATGGAACATTACATCAACAACTAATGATGTACTGTATGGTGACTAACAAAACATAAAAAAATTAATTAATTTTTCATGGATCATTCATTTGTTTTTTAGAGTTTTTACTTAAAATTCTAGTTAGTTAACATATAGCGTAATATCAGTTTCAGGTGTACAATATATTCAATAGTTTCATACAACACCTGGTGCTCATCACAGCAACAGCACTCCCTTTTTAATCTAGTTGATAATATAATTGGTTTTGCAAAATTTCTGTGAAACTAACGAGTGTGAGGTTTAATAATTTGTGGAGTCATCTAGGGTTTCTGTCTCATCTATTTCCAAGAATATCAGAAAAATCCTAGTACAGTAGTAACTTAGCATATTTACACGCAGGTACATAATGAACCATTCAGTCTTTTCAGTGGTTGACAAATGGGCATGTATACTTATATTTTCTTATTTTTACTCCATATTCACAGGTCAATGTAAACTAAAACCTTGCTTTCACATGAATAAAAAAATTATCACTTCCTCTTGAAATGTGACAAGGAAGAAAATATTGGGAATAATTCTACCATCTCATCCTCAAGAGCCAGTAGGAATTCTACCACCAGTAAGCATTTTGTCCTGAAGATACTGACATTTCTCTTAAGACACTACAACACTCCTATTACAATAAGACTCTGGCTGTGCTAGTCAGCCATGAGGCTTTGATGACTAGTCTCCGTGAGTAAATGATATGGGTTAGTGTGTCCCGGGGTGAAATAATCTGGAATGCTCAGTGTCTGCCACATATGTCAGGATCAAGATTTTTTTAAAAAAAGAAATGTGTCTGGATCTTTGATTCTCACTGGAGTCTGAACAAAATGAGTGACAAAGTAACTTCTGTGGACTGAGGTCCAGCACAAGAGATCATGTTAGGCAAAATGTGGAGGGGATTTCAGTTTGTCAGCTGGTATAACTAATAGGGACTATAGTAATTGAATTCTACCCTGATTGCATATATTAAGAATAATGAATTATATAAAGATCTTTCAATTTCTGATTTAGGAATGACATAGCAACTCTTTGAGTGCTTGGCTGGCAGCATCCATACATTCATAGTAACCAGACTGGAGAACCAGCATGTGAGGAGAGAGCCCAGTGGTAAATGGTTATGCCTACCTTTGAGCCATTCATGCATTTTTCTTACATGCCAAAATCTTTAGAGTGAGGAGCAATTGACTGAGATCGACTAGGTAATCAAGGTAAAGGATGAGTCTTTACTTATTTATCTCTTAAGTAAAAGAAATATGGAAATTGAAGAGTAATTTCTATTTGTCAAAATGTTTTAGAGGATGTTTTAATTTCCTTGCCGATGAGGTCACAAGAATTAGAATGCTATTTTTTCCCCTATCACCCAAGCAGAAATGTTCTAGACATTTGAGCTATGGACTCAAGTAGATGCTGTACTAAAATGTTTAATTATAAAATTATTGCATTTTCAGATCTTGGTGTTTTAGGTAGATTTTGTTGCCCAATATTTACATTTTGTTAGTGGATTTCATAGTGTTGAAGGCGAGATCCTAGTTTTAAGCCCGATGCTGATGGAGGCCGTTTTGGGAAACTTTGAGACCAAGGTCTTGTGACCTTCAATGCTCCCTGTTTCAAGTAGTGAATATAATTTTTCTTGTGCTATAGAGAGTCAAGTGAATATCTATGGTTTATTTTTTATGACTTGTTATTAGTAAATTTTCAATTGTGGTGTTTTTGTTTGTCAACTTTCTTAATTTCCCAGTATATTTTGTAGATTTTAAGTGATATTGGAATTGGATGAAATTTCTACCACTGCTCCAATGAACTACTGATTTTGTCATTGTTTTTTTTTAATTTTATTTATTTATTTTTTTATTTTGTCATTGTTACCAGTTCTCTTCTATGGGAATAATCAGAACACTGCACTCCAGAGGTAACTTTGCAATTTTTAATAAAATTTATTATTTATTATTATTTAGGTTATTTCTATTATTTATTGTTGGCAAATAAGATTACATACACATGATTTTGAAGAGTCTCTTAATCCAGACAATATGAAGCCTTTACATTCTGGGTTATCTGAGACTTCTGTGTACTTTCCCTCCAGGATTATATGCATCCTTTTTTAAATTATATCAGAAGGGCCTACTTGAAAAATAGTATTATGATATACTTATGCATAGTAAACCTCTTATGTTGTGAATGATACAGATGGACATGTATATTTCTCATCTTTCCATAATTCTTTGCTAACTTGAACATGGACACAGAACTTGGTTTCATATAAAAGCTTTTATTTCTTCCCTTTGAGACATGAAATGAAGGAAAGTTTTGGGAAGAATTCTGCATCCTATCCTCAAGGGCCAGTGGGAATTTTCATGCTGGTAAGCATTTTTTCCTGAAGATACAGACATTCTCTCAGGGAATGTTAACTCTACTGGTAAGGTTTTGGCTAAGCTAGTCAGTCATGAGGCTGGGTCCTTGACTGTGGTGGCTACTCTCCATAACTGAATAGTATGGTTCACTGTGTCCTAGGGAGACAGAATCCTGAGTGCTCAGTATCTGACATATATCTCAGGATTAAAATCCCTTTTGCAAACTTGCTTAGATCAATGATGGCTTTACAAATGGGTCTTGTTGAAATCTGAACAAAATGAGTGACAAAATAACTTCTACAAGGTGAGGTCCAGCACAGGGACCACGATACTAGGCAAAAAATATGAAAGGGAATTCAATTTGGTCACCAATGGTACCAAATAAGGACTATGGCATTGGAAAACTAGCATACTAACAAATGCTAGAGGAAATGAATGGTACAGAGGCTGTAAATAACCACTGTGGAATGACATAGTAACTCTGAGGGCTTGACTGATAGCTTTCATACACGCACATTAAGCAGACTGTGGAAAACCAGCACATGAGTAGTGAACACTGTGGGAAATGGCTGTGCCTAGTCCTGAGCCATTTACACCATCTTCTCAGTCAGTCATTTGTGAGAATCAACATCTTGAGGTCTTATTAGATAGTCAGTTAGAAATAAGTTATTCAGGGGCGCCTGGGTGGCTCAGTCATTAAGCGTCTGCCTTTGTTTCAGGTCATGGTCCCAGGGTCCTGGGATCGAGCCCTGCATCGGGCTCCCTGCTCAGTGGAGAGCCTGCTTCTCCCTCTCCCACTCCCCCTGCTTGTGTTCCCCCTCTCACTGTGTCTCTCTCTGTCAAATAAATACATAAAATCTTAAAAAAAGAAAGAAAGAAGTTATTCATTTTTTTGCTTGTCATTTATCTCTTTTTTTTTAAAGAGAGAGAGAGAGAAAGAGGCATGAGAGACAGAGAGAGAGAGAGGCAGAGGGAGAAACAGGCTCCCCGCTGAGCAGAGAGCCCAATGCGGGACTCGATCCCAGGACCCTGGGATCATGACCTGAGCCGAAGGCAGGTGCCCAACCATCTGAGCCACACAAGTGCCCCCATTTATCTCTTAAGTATAAGAAATATGGGAAAATTGAAGAGTAAGTAGGTATTTATTAGATGATCTTATTATGTTTTAATTTGCTTGCTAGCCCAGTTTCTTTTTTTTTAAGATTTTATTTATTTATTTGAGAGAGAGAGAGAATGAGAGATACAGAGCACGAGAGAGAAGAGGGTCAGAGGGAGAAGCAGACTCCCTGCTGAGCAGGGAGCCCGATGTGGGGCTCAATCCCGGGACTCCAGAATCATGACCTGAGCCGAAGGCAGTCGCTTAACCAACTGAGCCACCCAGGCGCCCGCCCAGTTTCAAGATTAGAATTTTTTTTCTTTTTCTCCTCACTCAGGGAGAAATTTTCTAGATATTTGATGATGGATTAAATTAGATATTTCATTAAACATTTTAAGATGAAATGATTAAATTTCCAATTCTTGGAATTTTATGTTGATATCATTGCTTAACATTCATATTCCATCAGTGGGTTTATGTGCATAAAGATAAGTTATAATTTTAGTGAGTGATGCTTGGGGGGTGGGCTTTGGGTCAGCTTTGAGACCAAAGTTTTAGAAAACTTAATTTTCTATACTACTTTTTTTCTGAGGAAAAAGCATAATTTTTTCTGAGGAACTCCCTTACCTGAGGATCAAATGAGTGTAGATGGTCAAGGGAACATCTTTGTTTGATTCCTTAATTATCTATTATCAGTAAACATTCATCTGGGAAGGTTTTGTTTCACAACTTTTTATATTTCCTCTGTGTTTTTGTGGAATGGAAGTGATTTTTTGAATTGCATGAATACTCATCACCATAGCAAAGAAGTGCTGATTTTGTCATTTTTATCTGTTCCTTCTCTCTGAGATGGCACAAAACAATACACTCCAAGGGCAATAACCAGTTTGAAATAAATTACTTTTATGGCTTATATTTTTAATATTTTTCTGTAGTCAAGTAGATAATTGGTTTTGTGAAGTATCTGTTAATCCAGACAATGTGAGTTATTAATTATCTGGTGAACTGTCAAATATTTTGTCTCTTTTATTTCCAGGATTTTTATGACTTCTCTCTTTATTACTTTTATTATTCAAAATAATAACAGAAACATCCTAATAAAGTAATATGAGTTCACTTGATATGAAGGTATATTATAATCCCTTCTGTGTTGTGCATGTTTGACAGATGGACATCACATCTTTCCATATTTTAGTCTATTTGCACAGGTTGACATGAACCACTATCTGGGTCTCATATGAATTGATTCCTTCTTCTTGATAGAATTCCAGGAGGGGGTGGGGGTTGGGTGGCTCAGTTAAGTGTCTGCCTTCAGCTCAGATCATGATCCCGGAGTCCTGGGATCCATCTAGCCCCACGTCAGGCTCCCTGCTCAGTGGGGAGTCTACTTCTCCTTCTCCCTCTGCCCCTCCCCCTGCTCCTTCTCTTTCTCTCGCTCACTCTCTCTCTGTCAAATAAATAAATAAAATCTTTTTTAAAAAGAGAGAATTCCAGTAGGAATTCTAACATTAGTGAGCATTTTGTCCTGAAAAAAAAAAAACTGGCATTCCTCTTAGGATACTCTAACATTCATATGACAGTGAAATTCTGACTATACTAATCAGTTGTGAGGCTGAGTCATTGACTATGATGACTAGTCTCCATGATTAAATAGTATGAGTCAGTGTGTCCCAGGGAGACAGAATCTGGAGTGCTTAGTGTCTGTCACATATCTTAGGATCAATATCCATTTTATAAATGTGACTAGATCAATGATGAATTAAAAAATGGATATCATTGGAATATGAAAAAATGAGTGACAGAAACACTTCTGTGAGCTGAGGTCTACCAAAGGACCATATGAAGTAAAAAAATATGGATAAAGTTCAGTTAGTCAGGTAGTATAACCAGCCAGGTCTGTGGTATTTGAAACCTAAACTTATTGCATACATTAAGAAAAATGAATTGTGCAGAGATCTATAAATATCTGATTTAGAAATGACATGGTAACTCTTTGAGTGCTTGGCTAGCAGCATCCATATAGTCATAATAATCAGGCACTGGGGAACCAGCACATGAGTAATGAGACTGATGAGTCACATTTTTGTCTACCCTTAAGCCATTCACATGATTTCCTTAGATGCTGCAATCTTGTGAGTGAGGCATAGTCCATTGAGGTCAATTAGATAGTTCAAAAGATATTATAATTCATGAGTTATCAATAATTTTTAGATAAAGGAAACATAATGGAAGCTGAATAATGGTTTGTATTTGTGGGAATATCTCAGAGAGTGTTAATTTGCTTGTAATCCAGTCACAATAATTCATAGTGTTTTTTTCTTGTCACTCAAAGAGAAATTTTCTAGATATTTGAGTGATGTATTCAAGTATATACTGCATTAAATATTTTTTTTTAGAAGAGAGGGGATAGGGAGATGGGGTAGCCAGGTGATGGGTATTAAGGAGGACATGTGTTGTGATGAACACTGGGTGTTATACACAACTAATGAATCATTGAACACTACATCAAAAACTAATGATGTATTATTTGTTGGCTAACTGAACTAACTAATATATATATATATACTGTGAAATTATTGCCATTATATCCAAATCTTGGAATTTTATTGGTTAATGTTGATATTCCTTCAGTCTGTTTCATTTCTGTTTAAAGGAAGATCCTAGTTTTATTGAATGATGCTAAGAGTTCTTTGGAGAAACTTTGACTACATCTTAAAACAAATTACTTTCTATACCATTCTATTTCATGGAACAAGGGTACTTTTTTTCTTGTCATATAAGTGGTCATTGAATGTATATAATTAGTTGCTTACAAGCTTTTATCAATAAACATTGAATTTGAAAAATTTTCTTCCTTGGCTCCTCTGATTGTACCTGTGGTTTGTAGGTTGGAAGTAAGATCACAATTGCATGGAATTCTTGCCACTTCACCAAAGAATACCTGATTTTGTCACCTTTACCAACTCCCTTACCTGAGAAGAAACAATGATGCACTCTCAAGGTAATACCTATTTTTTATAAACGTTTTTCTGGATTATTTTTATTATTTAAGTAATCACAAATTATTAATGTTGTATAGAATCTGTCAATTTAAACAGTGTGAGGCTTTAATAATCTAGTGATTCTTCAAGACTTCTGTTTATTTTTTTCCAGAATTTTTGCACTTTCTCAGTCTTTCTGTTGATGCCTTATATAGGAATTAGGCACAGAAATGATGGCAAGGTCATTTCTCACCAGTGTGGCAGTGTTCATACCAATAAGTGTGCTAACCAAATGCCACTAGTACTTAGCAGTGTATCCTTGTGAGCACCACCCTAAAAATAGAATGAGAAGAGGCAGTTCCCCTTCTTGGAGTGCATTTGGGAAATATGACACTGCCTCTCAGGACAAAAATGATGGCAAGCACTGTTAAGCAGCCCTGTTAATTAACAGGAGGCATCTGCTGAAGGCAGCTAACCTGGAAGCCAGCTTTTGACTGTGCTTTACCATAAACTCTGAGCCCCTGCATGGTCATGCAACTACTTTTCTGGGACAAATGGCACCAGCCACAGCACATCAAGACCCTAACTCAGAGGATCAGTGTGGGTCTGAGCTGTGCTGGGTCCCAAAATTTGGAGTTTTGAAACCCAGCCATACCTCTGAGATAAAACACGGGAGCACTGTGCTGCCAGGCAGACAGATGGCTCAGACACAGACAGGGTGAAAGCAGGGTTCTGATGGAAACCAGGACACAAGAGAGGAAATTGTTTGCTCTTCTGTGAGGGCTTCCTGAACAGCTGCATGTGTGAACTCCCCTCTCTGGGGACAAGAGAGTGGGGTGACACCATTTTCCCCCAAACCCATCAGCACAGATAGATTTCCATGAGCAGCACAGCACCACCAGTGGAGGCTGGAGCTACTTAAACCAATGCCCACTTCACTGTGTCCTGTGGGTGCATCTTTTTTTTTTAATTTTCTAATTTTTATTTTATTTTATTTTTTTGAGAAAGAGGATGTGAGTGAGCAGAGGGAGAAGGAGAGAGAGAATCTTTTTTTAAAAAGATTTTATTTATTTATTTGACACACACACACACACACAGAGAGTGAGCACAAGCAGGGGGAGTCACAGGCAGAGGGAGAAGCAGGCTCCCCACAGAGAAGGGGGAGCCTGATGTGGGACTCAATCCCAGGACTCCGGGATCATGACCTGAGCCAAAGGCAGTCGCTTAACTGACTGA